AAAGTCTAAGAGGCCGTGTACATCCCCATCACTGCTGATTCAAGATTGCAGCCGTGAGGGTATACTTAATTGCTGATGAATACAAATGACTTGTGCAGGTAGGAAATGCGTGACTGTGGTAATCAGCCCGATGATGTTTTCGGCCCAGTCGGTGACTATGACCTCTAATCTTAGAAATAGATCTATGTTTTGAGTTACGTAACAGAATTAATCTACTTCAAATATGCCATTTTTGAAAAAAGAAACAAATTATTCTTGGTGCTGCAGTCTGTCTACAGAATGATAACTAAACCACGCGAGTTATGTCCTACTGTATATAAACTGCAATGTCTCTTCAGCTGCGCCGTTCTCTTTTTGTTTCATTTTGCATAAGAAACATGAATAATTTTCACATATGCAAACACGAGAAGTGGCAGACAAGTCAATTATTCATGAGTAACATTGCAAAGCAGAGGAACGAGCAATAAGCGGAAGACTATAATAATATCAGAAGATAATTAGACTTTAATAGTAGCTACAGTAGATAAACGTTTAGCGAAAATTCTTGAAATAACGGCGAAGATTAAGAAAGAAGTGTGTCACGTAGGCAGCAAATTTAGAATGGTCCTGTGGGACCTTTGGTAGAAGGTGGAAAGAAACTGGGAATTTTAGAGGAGATTTGCAAAGAAAATAATAAAGATTTTTAATTCGCTTAGTGAGGGGTGGGCAGGTCATGTAGCAGGAATGGGGGAGACGAGGATTGCGTATAGAATATTGGTGGGAAAGCCAGAAGGAAAGAGACCACAGGGAAGACCAAGGCGTAGGTAGGTGGACAATATTAGAATTGATCTTAGAGAGATAGGATGGGATGGTATGGGCTGGATACATCTGGCTCAGGATAGGGACCAGTGGAGGGCTCTTGTGAACACGGTGATGCACCTTCGGGTTCCATAAAATGCCGGAAAATTCTTGAGTAGCTGCAGAATTGGCGGGTACTCAAGAAGGGCTCAGTTCCATGATTAAGTAAGTAAGTAGTGAGGGGTGGAGTCCAACTGGGTCCAATCGGCACGGCGGCCACTGATTGGCCTATTGTAGCCTGCCCCGGTTGATTATGATGACGAAGAAATTGGTGGAATAAAGATTGCAGGGTAAACTGAAGTACACGGAGAAACCCCGCCCCAGCGCCACTTTGTCCACCACAAATCCCACTTGACCAGACCCGGGATCGAACCCGGCCGCCGTGGTGGGAAGCTAGTGACTACGCGCTTGAGCTATGGAGCAGCCAAGTAATAGAGTTACTCAGATCTTCAGCAAACTATGTGTCTAAAATGGTGTTATGAAGTGACAGAAGGGAGGGGGAGGGTGAAGTGTTATGCTTGGTGGTGAAGTATGATTACGTATGTTACCCACGAACACTCATGAGATAATTATAAATTGTACCGAATGATACATATATAATTAAAGAAGAGAGAGTTGGGGAAATAAATTAAAGGAGAGGGAAGAAATTTTTTATTCAGCATTTATTTTAAGGAATCAGATAAAATGTAAACATAATTATGTAAAATAATTGCAGAAATGAAGAATGCCCTCTTCTGCGATGTGGCGCCGTGTAGATCCTATGTAAACTGATGTTCTTCCGAAACGTCGGTTCACACAGGATCTACACGGCGCCACCTCAAATCTTACGATTACAGAAATCTATAACGATATAGAAAGACAACTTTAGAATGTAAATGAAAATATTCGTAGGTAAGTCAATAAGTAAGTTACAAATGGATATAGAACTTAAACAAGTAAGAGTACTGATTTGAAAAATGCTTTTATTTCTAAAGATAATCTCCCTGTACATTGAGGCACATGTCCCATCGTTCCACAAGCCCCTGAAAATCAGCAGCATAAATTTCTTTGGGCTGCTGTCGGAACCAGGCGGTCACTTCCCTACAGAAGGGTAACTATACACACTATAGCCACTGCTATTGGTTGTTCACATGGCATGGCCTACCTCATAATGCATGACAGGTTAGGTTTTCACAAAGTCTGTGCACGATGGGTGCCGTGCATGCTGACCCCACAACACAAAATGCAAAGAATGGGTCTCGTATTACAGTATCTCAGCCACTACCACGATGAAGGACACGATATGCTAGCCCGAATTGACACAGGTGATGAGTATTGCTCCAAGCGACTTCCATTTGTTCGGCCCTCTTAAACATCATCTTTCGGCTGAACATTTTCCCGACGATGAAGCTGTAGAAAGGGAAGTCACCGCCTGGTTCCGACAGCAGCCCAAAGAATTTTATGCTCCTGGTTTCCAGGGGCTTGTGAAACGATGGGACAAATGCCTCAATGTACAGGGAGATTAGGCTGAGAAATAGAAGCATTTTTCAAATAAGTACTCTTATTTGTTTAAGTTCTATATCCATTTGTAACTTACTTATTGACTTACCCTCACATTTTGGTGTCTTATTGTGAAACGAAATAGAACAGAAGTGAAATAAATTACAAGATGGAGGTGCAAGAAAAAGAGAAATGGAAAATCGGGTTGAGGCTGAGAGTTTGAAATGAAGAAGAAACGTGACAGGATCTGAGAAAGCTAAATGCCCCTTGTCTTTGAAGGAGAAGGATGCTGAAAACAGAACCAAAATATTCGGGAGCGAAAAAAAATGAGAAAGTAATTCGTATGTAGTAAACAGTTTAGTTTAAACTTGGATTTAGAGTATTATATTTAAGCATCCTGTTGCAACAGGATGCATAAATATAATATTGTAAACAGTAGTCACACAAAAAGCGTTTATAAATATATGAATTGTAAACGGAAACTGTTTCACTGCAATGCTAACATTGGATTTAGAGCATAAGAAAATTATATATTTTACACATTTAACAGAGTTAAATGTAAGTAAAAGTAAGTAAAGCTATCCCTGTACCAGGCCGTGAAGGCCCATTGGGTGTGAGACGTTGAAGGTCCCACACTATCTAGACAACCGGCTCAAAGATGGCGGTAGGGTTCTCAGCCTTACGCACCGGCCACGCTTTACTCCCCAGAAAAATTATTTAATTAATTCCTGGTACTCATTTATTTTAGAGGTTGAGTCGACCCCAAGGCCATAGTGCGGCTGGAAGGATTATGTCAATTGAAAAAAAAAATATCCAATGACCTCATCGGGACTTGAACCCGCGACCTTCCGGCTTGTAGCATAGCCCCTCAACCAACTAGAGTTAAATGACGATGGAAAATATTTATTTGAAATTAGATGTAATTCAGAGAATGAAGTGGACTCATTTGAGGTTAAGGGGGTATAGAGGCATGTAGCGTAGTTGGTTGAGGCGCTATGCTACAAGACGGAAGGTCGCGGGTTCGAATCCCGATGAATTCGATTTTTCAATTTGCCTAATCTTTCCGGCCGCACTATGGTCCTTGGGTCGACTCAGCCTCTAACAGAAATGAGTACCAGGAGTCTTATTGGGAAGCAAAGGGCGACCTGCGTGTAAGGCTGACAACCTCACCGCCATCTGTGAGCCGACAGCCTACACAAAATGTAGGAGCCTCGACATCTCACATCCCTACGGGCCTTCACGGCCTCTTACAGTGACAGTTTTACCCTCTATTACAGACATAAAAATAGTAGACAGGGATTGGGCAGAGTAGTAGTAGTAGTAGTAGTAGTAGTAGCAGCAGTAGTAGTAGTAGTAGTAGTAGTAGTAGTGGTGGTGCCGGTCACGGTAGCCGAGCGGTCTAAGGCATGTACTGTCTTCGCTCGCTTCGAAACCGGGATCGTGGGTTCGAATCCCACTCAGGGCATGGATGTTTAGTTTGTGTGTGCGCGTTTTCCTGTGTTTGTGTACAGGTAGAGGCCTTGCGACGAGCTGATCACCCGCCCAAGGAGTCCTACCGAATGTGTAAGATCTAGAAAAACCGAAGTGAACGGAGAAGTTCATGGAGGTAGGCCTAGGACCACTGGGGCTCTAGTGCCAAGGAAAAAAAAAAGTAGTGGTAGTAATGTAGAGTAGTAGTGGTGGTGGTAGTACTAATGGAAGCGGTGAAGTAGAGAGGCTGATCTAGTGTAATTAGGCATTACGTAAGGAATCTGTCTGTAGCAAAGCCTATTATGCTGAAACAGATTTGTGTAAGGCAATGGAACGCAGCTGAATATACTAAAATTGATGGTGAAGTACGGATAATTTCATAGTACGTTTTAATTCTGCAAAGCTGACTAATATAAAACTAAAATTTAAACAAAATATACCAAATAACACTGAAGGATAAACAAATTTTACACCCATTATGATTTCTGCCGAAGATATATGAATACCTGTAAATATGATATAGAAGCTTATAGAAATTTGCTATAGAAATAAACCTATTTACATTATATTTTCTTAGTCTCTATTACTTACGACCCTTTAATCTCCGTTATAAATCATAAGGATAAGGACACCGGATAATTCAGGTTTCTGCATTATGAAGCGTACAGAAAATTTATGTAACCAACTGCTGATTTACGGTTCATTTTAATTATATGGATATAAACCGTCGGATCCTAAGCAACCTCATGAAACAGAACAATTGAGGAGTCAATAGTCGCTCAAATAGCAAAGCCTCTTATGCATCTCGAAATTTTATTTTTATATTCACATTAACCCGCCACTGGACCTTCCCCTGGGCCCCTTGAATCCAGTCAACATCCTATTTCCTTAAGACGAATTCAAATATTATCATCCCTTCTATGTTTAGGTCTCCTAAATTGTTTCTTTCACTCAGGTTTCTCCGTCTGAGTTGCTGCATTCATTTGTCACATAACCCATGCGTGCTACATGCTCCGTTGATCTCAATTTAATTGATCAGCCTAATAATATCTGGCGAAGAGAACAAATTATTGGAACTGCTTTCTGTGTTAAATGTTACAACTCCAGTCTGCTCATTGAAGCACACAAAAATGAAGCGTTACTACAAATGGGTGCCTTGCTGAGAAGTGCCGCTAGAGGTTAGGTGCACCGTGACGTAATGAGGCTGTACTCACAAGCAGGCTGCAAAGCTGACAGTACACGCTCTGTCTCACAAGAGAGCCGCGCCACTTCTACAAGCTGCGAGCCCGCTACGTCACTTCATATTGCACACCAGCCCCAACTAATCGATATGCGAGACTATCGACTCCTCGATGTAACTGAAGTCAAATTGCAGCACATTAAACATTTCCGACTCACATTAATGCAGGATGGACAGCGTCGAGGATCTGTACTGAAGGATGGGAGCGTCATTATATTACGATGATAAATGATGAATTACAAAGGATTTGGAAAAATACAGTCGTGGCCTATCGAAGTAATACCCTCATATTTTTTCCAAGGACTAAGGAGAACCATGAAATCCTAAATAAAGATAGCCGATGCTCGGGCCGCGTACCTCCCCAATAAAATTCCGAAGCGTTACCGCTACGTTGACTTGCTCGATGAGGATTTGTATTGAGAACATAATAAACTTTATCTATTCTACGAACTGCCGATCACAGTGGCCGTGCGGTCTAAGGCATGAAATATCTTCGTTCGCTCGAACACTGGTATCGTGGGTTCGAATCCCACTTAAGACATGGATGTCTTCATTTATACTGTTTGTTTCAGGTAGCAGCCTTGCGACGGGCTGATCCCCCGGCCAAGGAGCCCTACCAACTGTCTTAGATTAAGAAACTGAAGTTAAACGAAGAGTTTCGTGGATGCCTTATGCTACAAGTGAGAGCAACGGGAATAGAAGAAGAAGAATGAGATGATGATGATAATGATTCTACGAACCGGTGGACGTCATACTTTTCATAGGCAAACTTACGGAAGAAAAGTCGTCTAAATTGTGTTTCAATTTCCCACCCGTATATGAGCACAAAGCCGGTCACGGTAGCCGAGCGGTCTAAGGCAAGCACTGTCTTCGCTCGCTCGGAAGCCGGGATCGTGGGTTCGAATCCCACTCAGGGCATGGATGTTTAGTTTGTGTGTGTGCGTTTTTCTGTGTTTGTGTACAGGTAGAGGCCTTGCGACGAGCTGATCACCCGCCCAAGGAGTCCTACCGTATGTGTAAGATCTAGAAAAACCGAAGTGAACGCAGAAGTTCATGGAGGTAGGCCTAGGCCCAAATTGGGGCTGTAGCGCCACAGAAAAAAAAATATGAGCACAGAGCCGGTCGCGGTAGCCGAGCGGTCTAAGTCATGTACTGTCTTCGCTCGCTTCGAAACCGGGATCTTGGGTTCGAATCCCACTCAGGGCATGGATGTTTAGTTTGTGTGTGTGCGTTTTTCTGT